CCATTTAAGATTGTTTCCCAAACAACTGTTGCCTGGGGCAGAGATGCTAATTACTGCTTCAAAAGATCAATCTTTTATCTTTCGGTGGACTTTTATTGGCGGAACTTATGTTATGCACAATAAAGATCCACATGTATTTATACCTACCATAACCGACTGTTTTGTGAAAATGTGTGTGTACTTGAAAAGTTAACAAATATCTCGAAGCTCCATACCATAATTAAACTATAATACACACGTATATAAGATGCAAAAAATCCTAAATTATGCACCTACATTAAACTTTTAAAGCCCATGGAAACAGATGTAAACAATTTAAATATACCAACATGATCATGTATACCTTCTTTAATAAAGAGTTCCTTTTCTTTTGTTTAATTTCAACTGGATATCAGCCTGAGTAAATCGTTCTCCATTAGATTGTATTATCCGGTGTCGTTATTCACGATTAAATGTGTTTTATCTTTTGATTCTATTCTACGGCATCTCTGTACAGTCAAAATATGGTGTACTATGATTTGAAACAATTTAAGTAAAAGCGTAATGAACGTAAGTTTTTAATCAAATCAAAATCAGATTTATTAGTATAATTTTCGCAAAACAAAGGTCCTATGACATATGCATGAACAGCACATACAATGTGTCATACAGTAAATACATGTACAGTCTACACAGACAACACTTATATTTTGTACAACCGAAACTTTAATGTTTAGTACAAACGGAACAATAATATTTGTTACAAATCAAGCAATAATATTTGGTACATGCGAGACAATAGTTGCTGGTACACATGTAATAATTATATTTGTTACAAATGAAACAATAATATTTAATACACACGCAACAATAATATATGGTACAAATGAAACAATATTTTGTACAAATGAAACAATAATATTTGGTACAAATGAAACAATGATATTCTGTACACATAAAACAATAAAATTTGGTACCAATGAAACAATAATGTTTGGTAAAAACGAAACAATAACATGAAACCTGGTACTTGTTTGAATAAGGAACCAAGTAATTTCACTTGCTCATTGTTTTTCAGGTAAAGAATTGGCTTTATTTTTTCATCTTGTATAGATAAAGATCTATCTTAATTATGTTTTTGTCAAAAAATATTTGATTACTATAAAGACATCTGAATACAGTTATGGCGTCATTTAAACATGTCTGTCATAGTGTAAATTATTTCACAAACTGTGTTTCTATTGCTATTACTATGCTCTTATTTTGCTAGGGGCACATAACATATCGCTGTATATAAAATAATTTCACTATAAAATACGTGTAACTAATTGATGTGGGTATTACAAATAATAAAGGTGACATTTCTATCCTTGACTCCAGCGGTCATCTCAGTACCAGAGTCAATGACAACCAGGACGATTTCAATTCCATTATAAATTTGCCTCACTTAAGCAACAATATACCAACTTCGACTGCGTATCGAGTATACCTTTCTCAACCAATATGATATGCAAGAGCTTACAGTTACAAGGATTTACCCGATTATTCATTTATTCCTAATATTTTGATAAAACACTCGTAGTAACAGGATTTTACGCTTTGAAGCTTTGTCCGCAGGAAAACCATCATATGTATCTTGAAAGTAGGATATTTATTGTCTAGTTCAACTTTTTTTAGTTTTGCCCATGCTCTAAAGTAGTCCTTGACGGAATCCACTATTATTTTACAGTTATGTTTCCATTTGATGTGCTGTGGCTCTTTTTAAATTTAGGACCATGAGATATCAACTTCCGTAGATGTTTATGCTAAACTATGTTTGAATCACTAGTAATTACATGACCAGAGGGTCGGTAAATATATTACGAGTGGGAACAGTCATATGTCAGAGTGTTTAATAAGTATTGTTTTACTAGTAAATGAAAGTCTTGTAATGCTTGGTTTAGCTAAATATTTTAGGTGCAATGGTTTTGATGTAAACATAGGAACAGACTGATTTTGAAAATAAAGCGGGATTGTATATGTTATTTGTTTGCGGTGAAGAACGTTGCTGGTTTTAATAGAATTAATGTCTATGTTTGAAAACTGAATTGAATTGTTCCGATCGAACTGGTTTAAAAAGACAGAAACTAACTACATCAAAAAATATACTTACAGGTCTGTATATTGAAAAAATCATGTTTATACATCATTTATCAAGTGCATTATACTTTTTAACATCTTAGAAAGATTACAGACAGTGAAAAAAAGAATGGTACAAATGATGAAGCCCGAGCGGATAATGAAGATATAAATATTATAAAAGGTAAGTGAACACCATGTTGTTAATACATGTAGTAGACTCTCTCATTAAAATGTAAAATGCAATATTTCGTAAATGTTATACGGTTATTTCTCATTCTTGAGCTATCGGACTTTTTCAGGGACCTTTTAGTGTTTGTGCTTTGTAACGTTTAATATGTGTTTACTTTCCTAACTTTTAGTGTCAAGCGTACCTGATAATATATATCAGGGAGATAGTTAGCATTGCGTCGGTACTACTGCTGGTTGACTTTCAATTAATTTCTAGTAACTTAATTTTAGATGAGACACGTTTTCTAATTGGCTGAAATTGTGTCATGTGACCGTGACGTCATCAACGTTTTTTCATGATGTACTCCTTAAAAAAATCTTGTAATTGTACTAAAGCTTAGGTTGCATCTCAATATTCAGCGTTGTTTTGAATAGTTCGTCTGTTCTCCAAAACGATCCTTAGTTTATCGAATGTCCAATGTTTCGTACGTTTGGCTTTCCACTCCGTTAACATAGAGCGTACCTGGTATCTGATTATATCATATACAAGTGATGTACTTACTACAATATACATACGACCATTGTGTCGGTACCTCTGCTGATATACTCTTAGTTCCCGTTGGGTACCAGGAGCCAGTGCTAATGTATTGGTATGATTTAAATGATACATTTGTGTTGTTAATTTACAGGTCATAAAGTTATGTACTTTTTCTGAAGCTTAACTTGCAACTTTTTCTTTGGGTACAGTTGTCCTTAGATTGTATTTGCGTGATTTAGTTTATGAACTTATGTTTTTTGCACTCTCCGGCTATTATATTTAAGGCTTTCCAACCTTTTGGCATCTATCGTAATCGATGAACTTCATGCTCAATATTGGGCTAAATAGGCATTATTTTGCTATACAGCTATTAACATAAACGGTACTATACCATGTCGATACCTATATGTAGGCATTGCAAAAGGTCATGTTTTTCTCAGACTATTTATGACGTCTTTACACTTAAACCATTAGATGTGTACTGATTGATATTTGGTCTTTGATACATGATTGTTTTATTAGTTGTTATTGGCTTTTGTACTAGCTTTTAGTAACTAGGAGTACACTAAGATCGTTACTTTGTGTCTTTAGTCTTTTTGTTGGTTGTTTTTTTTTTCATTATTTTATTGTTTGTGTCCTGTGTCGATCTGATTAGTCAAATCCTTTTTCGACAGATTTTTACAGTCCGTCTTTTTTTTTTGTGTTGTAATACCAATGTCCAATGTAATGGGACGACAGCGGCCGCAAACGTGTTTTACCCAGCCACATTATTTACAAGTCCTAAGTTAGGAGTCTGTAATTCAGTGCTTGTCGTTTGCTGCTGTTTGCCATTTTTGTTATTTTTTTTCTTATTTACAAAATAGTTGATGTTCTGAATTGTATAACATTTTCTCCTGTCGAGCCTTTTATAGCTTGTTAAGCGGTATGGGTTTTGCTCATTGTTTAACGACGTATGGTTACCTACAGTTACTAGCATCTGCGTCGTTTGGTATCTGCCGAATGGTTGTCTCATAGGCAATCGAAACACATCTACTTATTATTATATATCCTGGCGTCGGTTGTCATAATGATTTTAACACATAATACACATATACTTTTTCTTGTTGTTGAAACCATGTATTTGGCTACCTAAACTATTGGCAGTGACCTTTCCCGTTGCACAGTGATGTAACCAATATATGGCAATGTCTTCAAGAGTATACCAATTAGTATCATGTGATTTTTGCAGAGTTAGCCGATGTAAAATAAGCTACGTAAAATGGTAATGCATTAGAAATGACTGTATGTAACTTTTATCTCATCACTGCTCTAAAACTATAAATTGTGAAAAACTATCTATTTATGATTCAAAATTGAAAATCGTTTTATTTCATTTGGAAAAGCATTGCAATATGTAACTTTGTGTGTTTTCTTCTACACGATAAAATTAAACTGAAAAATCCAGAAAAGTAAGTTAAAAAGATCTATTTTTTGCATTTTTCGAGAGTGCAAATCAAACTTGACATAACGTCAACACTTTAATGAAACAAACATCTGTATCGTATGACTTTAATATTATGATTAAAAGTATATGTTTGGTAAACACTAATACAAAAGCAACTCATAAATACATTTTCCAAAAGAAAATACTAGATACCAGATGTGTGTTTGCGTTATGAACTCTGCACACATTTTTAAAGCTAAGTGCTAGGAACAATCTGTTATAAGTTATTTATAAAAATATCATGATTTTCATCAAATGCTAAGAAAATACTATAACAGCTAAGCATTACCTTTTTTCAATATTTTCATGCAAAGGTCGGTTTATTTTGTATATCTTAGTTACATTCCTCAATTCGGTGAGTGTTGTATATGAAAACTTCGCTCAGTTTGATTGGTGTTGTATATGTAAACTCCATACAGTGTGATTGGTGTTGTATTTCAGAACTTGCAGTTTGAATGATGCTACATATCTAAACTTAGCTCAGTTTGGTTGATGTTGTATATCTAAACTTTATGCATTTTGGTTGATGTTGTATATCCTATTAAAACTTCGCTCAGTTTGATTGATGTTGAATATCTAAACTTCACTCAGTTTGGTTGATGTTGTATGTCTAAACTTCACGCATTTTGGTTGATGTTGAATATCTAAACTTCACTCAGTTTGGTTGATGTTGTATGTCTAAACTTCACGCATTTTGATTGATGTTGCATATCTAAACTTTACTAAGTTCGATTGATGTTGTAGGCCAAAACTTCACTTTAACTTGGGGCTGTATATCTAAACTCCAACTAATTTGGAGGATGATGAATATCTAAACTCCACGTAGTTCGGTGTATGTTGTATATCTAAACTGCACTCAGTTCGATGGAAGTTGTATGTATGCTTGTTCTTGAATTGCTGTTTTCGCTTAGCGACATTTTAGTTTGTTTATATAGATTTATTACACGTCTGTTACAGACATACGAAATAAATATGAACACACCCTGTAAAGCGTTCAAAAGGGAAACAATTGTTGAAAAGACTGAAAAGGGTATGAAAGAATCGATGATTTGAAAAATCCAAGAGATTCCAGTTATAGAAAATAATTTCACGTACACGCTAAATTGAATTTGATTTATATTCATTTGGGAATCGTTTTCCAAATTTGGTCGTCTTGCTATTGTTAAAGCAGTCCCAATAAAGAAGAAAATATTTGAACAGCAAACAAGACTTATTGGAATTATGAATGTAACAATGAATGCGATTCGTCGATTCAAAAAACAAACGTGACCTCCGTATCCAATCGATGTAACGCTTGATAAACTACTAGTTATAACAATGTTCAATGCTACAATTATTGCCGGTATCACATAAGAATATAATATATAAACTGCCAGCCTAGATGTTTCGGATATATGAATGCCAGTTTTGCTTGTAAAAACGTAGTACATATGAAAAGAGCACACACTGAGACAACCAAAAGTTACCAACCAAAAATAATGTATCAAAACACCGATAACGTTACATCCGGCGTCAGATTTTGTACCAAATTCTACAAACTGAAAAACAAACTGCGCACAGAAAACTGCAAATACTAAACACACATTATTTTTTCCTGGAAGGGTTCTCAAACTCGGAAAAAAACAATAAGTGAAAAACGTTAAAACTAAACAAACAAGAGATATGCATGTGAACACTAATGCTACTGTGTTCCATATAACTGCAGAATTGAAAGAATCCTTTCTTGTATTCAAAGTCTGCAAACGGTTGACGCATATTCTTGCTTTTCGACGTGACGTCAGAATATATTCATCTTGTTCAATTTCAGTATTTCTCGAAAGTATAGTAAATTTTAAATTTTTCAAGTTTATACTGAATTCATTTTCGTTCAACTCGATTTGCCTACAAATCAAAAGTTGATTCACGTGTGAATGAACGAATAAACGTCCAGAGTATGAACGAGATATTTCATGCATACTATAACATTTATCAGTGAATTGAATTCTTGAAACTAAAGTAGGTAAATGAAAAGCATTTCCATCATGATCAATAAAAAATGACTGCTCAAAATCATCATGGGTAACATTGAATGTTGAGTGCAGCAGAGAGACTAGTTGTTCCTCTGTCCTTGAACGGTTAACAAAATCCGTTATAAATAATTTGTGATAAATCAAAATCGAAACCTCGTGTCCTTTGTGTAATTTGTTAAGCTGATTGCGTGGACAGTACAAATTGGACAGAATGATAGAAGTTTCAAATTCCATGTGATTAAGCCTCAACAATTTCGTTATATATCTTTTGAAAGAAACATCAACTGACTTCAAGAAAGGCATCGTATCATTCACATTAATCAACAAACTAGCTTTTAGTCTCCCATATAAAATGTATCCCAGGTTTGTTGTTGTTTTGAAAAGAGGAGTACATCCTGTATCGACAAGCATTCTACCAGGATAACAATGTACATCACGACATTCATTCTGAAATAAAGAGTAATGTAAGACAATGATTACAAACAGGTCTACATTTTTGTAACTGAGTGTGAATTTGCATTACAGGTGATGAATGCACAGCAGGATACGTTTAAACGTGTCGACGCACTGTAAGAGCTCTTTTCGGAGTTCATGTAATGTGTATCGTCTTAATCGATTTATGAAATGTAAACATAGTTTAAATATTAATGTCCAAATTAACCTATCAACATTTCACAACATGTTCTTGTTTAAAAAGTAAAATAACAAAAATACCGAACTTAAAGTAAAATTCAAAACGGAAAGTCCCTGATCAAATGGCAAAATCAAAAGCTCAAAAGACATCAAACGATTGCAAAGTAACTGTCATATTCCTGACTTGGTACAGGCATTTCCTTATGTAGACACTTGTGGAAAAAAATCTGGTTTTATAGCCTGATTTACCTCTCACTTGTGTCTGTCCACAGCCTTTAATGGTTGTTGTCTTTAGTTATAGCTTATAATGTTTGTTTTCCTTTCGGAAATGTGGTACATAAACGTTTCCATGGTAGGTGCCGAACGAATTTACACCAATAATGTTTTCCTATTGTGTTTTCACCGGGTTCATGAAGAATGTTTAACTACCTATTCAGATTACTTTGAACTTTAACATGCAATCTTCAATTTTCTTTGGGGCTCATATAGACCAAACCTTCATTATATCTGTTTATAAATAAAGAATAAAATTGAAGATTTTTAAACTTGAAGAAGTAGGGCCAATGTTCCCTTGAATTTGTTTCACTGTCTGTGTCAAAATATGAAAAGTGATGAAAACTAGCGAATATAAATATTTAAAAGTCTAAACAATATACTTAAAAGATTATTCAAAGTTAACATATATCAATATACAATGGTCATGTTGGTGTCTGGACTTCAAGGTAAACCATAGATTTAAAAAGTATCCAAAGTTACTGCTTGGGGAATTGGCCGTACCTCTTTTTTCAAGAACATTCTATAGCGTATTTACCTGACGATATCGGGATATGGGTATTTAGTCAAATCTTAACAGGAAGTTGTGATAATATTAAAAAACGGAAACGGATAAAATAAATAAACAATGTCAAAATATTCAGGCTTTAATTAAATCTTTATTTGGGTAAGTTGATGCAAGCATACGATCTGTACTGTGTCTTATACTGTTAGAAGCAAAAAATGTGTAACGACTATGTTATATTAATGTGTAAACACGTTAATTATGAGCTTTGAAAGTTAAGTAGTTCGTGCATTTTTCTGAGAAGTTTTAAAAAAAATTTCAAACAAATATAATTTACTGTGAGTTAGCATTCGTTAGCAGTCACTATCCTATAGATTAACAACTGTTGGTCATATTGATAATTTAGAATCTTCATAGAAGCAGGCGCACGAATGTTGTGTTAATTAATTCTTTTGCTGTGTCATTTGTATGCAAGAGTGACATCCCTTTGTACTATGTTTCAATTCCAAAAAGTCTTTCGAATCAATGCGTTTAATGTCTGACTTGAAAAGGTTCATAATTTCATCTTTATGTATAGTTATTTGATAAAATTTTAAATCATTACAAAATTTATAAATTTGATAGATTTTAGTATTTATTATTGGTTTATCAAAGACATTTGTGCATATCTAATATTTTATTTATTTGTTTTGAAACGTTTAAAATTATTATATACCATATATAAAGAACCTTTCATAATTTTGTAAATACCCAGGTATCAATTAATCACATTTCAATAACGGATAGTCATGGTTGTTAGAAACCTCCATCATCATCGTTACATTTTAAATTACTTAGTTTTGATGAGGTACACTACTGGTCCGAGGACACAGTTATCGTCCTTAGATTTTCGTTGTCTACAAATATAGTCCCATGGTTTGGACAGTGTATAACTTGCAAATTTTTTTCAAACACTTTCCAAATTTATTTCTTTATATTTTATGCATGAAATATTAAGTAAGGGGATGAAATTACATGTTAAAACATTTTGGGTGCTGAATCTTTATGTTAAGTAGGGATTTGGCCCAGTTAAAAAAGGTCAAAAACTAGTATGTCTGAAGCTGTCAAACTGAATTTTAGACCCCCTTAACATAGAATTGTCAATATTTTGAGTTAGAGCTGGTAGACTTTTCTATAATTTTGTTATTATTTGTCCCAATAGTAGTACACCACACTGTAAACTCTTTTTGAGATAGAGCAGGTGCGATTTTTTTAATTTGACTTTATTGTCTAAAAGAAATGCACTACGAAATAACTGTGTTCTCGGGCCTACTGTGAGAGGACAGATAGTGCACTTGCCTCAAACTAATCCTGGTATAGTTTCTATAAAAAGACGTATTATGATTAGATGTTATATAAATAGTATTCTGTCTACTTATAATTGAGGAAATTATTTAGGTGAATAACATATGTTTCATTTGACATCTGTAATCATTCTGCTGTCAAGAATACACTGTTTTAAGTTGTTGTCCGCATTATCTTACCCCCAACAGCATTGATCCTGCTACTTGTAAAAGCATTTATTGTTTTAATATGGTGTATATAATTGTGTCAGAATTCAAATGAAGCAGACATATTGTCTTGATTTATATGCATTGCTTGATTCTCTAAAGACAAATACATGTATAGCTGTGTAACAACCCTTAACACAAGCACACACAAGATACATATAGGCACAAACACATAAACAGGACACCATAACCACCTCTTTATTCCAGAAAATTCAAATCTATGTTTAATAAAGGCAACAGTAGTATACCGCTGTTCGAAATTCATAAATCGATTGAGATAAAAACAAATCCGGGTTACAAACTAAAACTGAGGGAAACACATCAAATATAAGAGGATAACTACGACACAACAGAAACACAACATTAATATGTAACACACACAGAAATTATAATATAACAATTGCCATTTTCCTGACTTGGTACAGGACATTTTAAGAAAAAAATGGTGGGTTGAACCTGGTTTTGTGGCTAGCCAAACCTCCCGCTTTTATGGCAATGTTAAATATAACATTAAAATGAAATGCGGCTTTAGTGAGAAATTATGATTTTAACCTACATAAAGCATTTGAACTTTTTTGAAAAAGACTTAATATGAAAACCGAATTATATTATCTCCCCATAATGACAAAATGTTGGGAAAATTAACCAGAGTTATCTTACATTAATCACAAAGAGGGGCTAGCAAACAATTTTTAATTGGAGCTTAATCAACGTTAAAACAATTTTCCCCTAAAAATGAATGTTATTTTTTTCAATTATAAGAACTTAGTTAGCTAAATCTACTAATTGCATTTGATATTATGAATTTTTATGACAATAGATAAACATGCTACATTCTACTCAGATGACACGTTAGCTATACAAAAACGTGCAAAAATAGAACGTTAATGATTATATAAATAAGATTAATCGATAGATAATATCTTAAATAAACTAATAACTAGATATACTTGCATTATATAATTCATACTCAAACGCATTAGCGAATAATTATGAATATTACTGCAGTATGAAGCACTTTATTGCAATGGGAAAAATAAGTGTTTGTCTCAATAGCCTACGTCGAACAAATCTAACACTTAAAATTAATGGCTACTTAGGAAGCTCTAATCGGTTTTACAGTCTACAAATATTTAACTCTGTCTCTTGCAATTAACTTTACTTAAGTGCTTTAAATATGTCGGAGACGATAGTTTTGATATTTTTCGGGGAAAGGGGGTTTACAGGATCATGGAAATGAATATTATGGTCCGGTAAGAACTGCGAAAAATACACTTGACCAAGACATAAGGAGAATTAATACTCTGCAAAATAAAATGCAGGCCTGGAACTTTTTGAGCGAGACAAATAAATCGTACTAACAACAGTTGAAAATAAATATTCCGTTCGTAAAAAAAAACCCTCCCATTTCTCCCCGCAAGAAATCATATGATCATTATCGAAAAAAAAAAAAAAAAATG